CACGCCCAGCCCAAGACGTTTTTTTTAAAAAGTCTTTTTCTTACTGAGCAGCAGAGGGTGTTAGAGTAACATTAAGACTTCTCTCCCCACTGAAAACAAAAGGGCACTCAAAATATAAGAGGTGACTGGAACTACACAAAAATTTATGCCACTATTTTATGTAACATTGAGAAAATTTATATTAATATAAACTATTATACAATGCTTTGTTATCATTTTTTGTAAGAGGTAGCACAATTTCAAAGTTGTAAAACTGTGAAAAATTTGGATCTTAAAACTAATGAAATACAGTATATCAAACTAGTCTCCTTGGGGAGTTTTTATTCATTCCAGTAATGTACATTTAGCATAACAATATTTATTCAAAAAACAAAATTTTTTCATGTTTGAGCAGTCTTCTAGTGATATACAACTGCTCAAAACATTTAAATTTTGTGTATTTTGGAAATGCCAAAGCCTATGATACAGTAAGTATATTTACCAAATAGTCATCATATAAGACTAAGATTTAATTTTGGGGGTAATAATCATTAGTTTTAAATATTAATAGTAAAGCCTGGTAAAGAGGACAGGCAATCAAGTGAAAAGTAATAAAATACTTTGGTAAAAAGACAGACAGTATGTTAGGCCATGCATAGTGACTCACGCCTGTAATCCTAGCACTTTGGGAGGCCAAGGCGGGAGGATTGCTTAAGCCCAGGAGTTCGAGACCAGCCTGAGGAAAAGCAAGACCCAGTGTCTACAAAAAATAGAAAAATTAGCTGGGCATGGTGGTGCACACCTGTTGTCTCAACTACTTGAGAGACTGAGGCAGGAGGATCACCTGAGCCCAGGAGTCTGAGGTTACAGTGAGCTATGACGATGCCATTGCACTCTAGCCTGGGCAACAGCGTGAGACCCTATCTCAAAAAAAAAAAAAAAAAAAAAAAAGACAGTATATTAAAGAGACTTTTAAAAATATCTGTATGCTGACTTTGTGATTGATTTTAAGATTCCAATAATTATAGATTTCAATAATTATTATATCTATTAGACACCAACAGTCATGAGAATTTATTTTGACTAACAGAGTGGCAATGTAGAAGCAAAAGGAATTTTGAGAGAATATATGTGTCAATATAAAATTTTTAACAATGAGAAAAAAGGAATGCTAAATTTATCGAGAGCATGAATATTAAGTTCAAGGAGTTCTCAGAGAGTTCTGCTTTGGCAATGGTCTTCCAGGTTGTTTCATACCAATTTATCCTCTGGTTACAATGAGAAAAACCAGATAAAATACATTAAGAAAATTTTTGTAAGTAGAACACTACAAAGATAGTAAGAGTTTGGTGTTGGGGAAGGGAGGTTTCCGAGAACTCAAAGCAGAGGAAAGCAAGATATGTGAGCCCAGTGTTTGAAGCTTTTCCCCGCAGTGTGACAGCTGATTTCAAAATCAAAACTTGTGGCTGAGACCCTGAACAGTAAAGCTATCGAGAGTCTCGTGATGACACAGAGAACAATCGAAGTTCAAGGACCACTGGATGGGGGTTTTGGGAAATACTTCAAGACTTTTGATTCACATCCAAAAGGGTACACATCAGAAGAAAGGGCCAACTAGAAATAGACCAGGCCTCACATGGACTGTGTCCTGATTGGATCATGGTGATTTATTGCAGCCTAACAGCCATCAGAGGAAATAGTACAGCCCCTTTGGAGAAAGACAACTTCATCCAGAGCCTCAAATTATTGCTACAATTCTTCATCTACACTATCTATCACTTGATAAACAAAACAAAACAAAAACAAAGCACAAGCTAGGCTTACAAAAAGAACTGATAACCAAGAGGGAGAAAAAGACAAACAATAAAAATGACTCACAGAGAGTGAGATATTTGTTACTACCAGAAACCTTAATTCATATGTTCAAGAAATTAAATGACTAGATAGAATATTTCAGCAGAGAACTGCAAGCTTATATAAAAGGATTAAATACTTAGAAATTGTTTAAATTATGAAGTATAATAGTACAGTGATTTTATTTTTAAAAGAATCCTTAACTTTTGAGAGATGTACCATAATATTTATAATAAAATGATATGATATCTGAGATCTCCTTCAAAATGATCTGTGGTGTGTGAGATGCAGAAGAAGCAAGATTAGCAATAAGTTGATTTATTTTTGAAGCTAGGTACAGGTACATTGGAGTCGATTATACTACTCACTCTTTTATGTACGTTTGAAATTTTCCATAGTAACTTTTTTTTAAAGGAGTAGATGCAAAAAATTTATCATAGATTTAATAATCATTCTCAAGGGCATAACCTAACAATTAAAACTGCTAGGTATCATTGTAAACAAGCCTTCAAAAGTCACTTCCTAGAGTCACTTAAAGATTACTTACAAGAACAATACAGAAAGTGATTGTGTACTTTCTGTAGAAGGTAGAAAAAAACTCAACTGTCCTAATGGTATATAAGCGGGTATTTATAATTGGCATATAACCCAGTGGCATTGTGAAAGAATCCAAAAGCACTGAATCTCCAACAATTTGGATGTAAATAAAAATTTGTTCCACACAGCTGTGAGATGACTCAAAAAAAATGGTTCTAGTAAAGACAAACATTGACAGTGAAGATGCATTTGAAGAGAGTAAAAAGAATTGTCTCATGAAATGTGAGCACAAGAAAACAGTATTTATAAATTGCCTGTTTCTATAATATGTGATTTTAAGTCTGTCACTAAATTATTATAATTAGAATCAAACAAATTTTACAAATGAAGAATATACAATAACTAAAAAACAACAGGTTAGTACAGCTGAAAAGAGTAACTGCAAAGTGGAGGACAGGTCCAAAAACAAAAAAAAAAAATCGCCAGAATGAAAGAGAGCAAAAATGATAGTCTATATAGAAAATACTGTAAGAGATACATTAGATATGGTGGAAAAAATCTGACGATGTAATCGGAATCCCCATAAGAAGAGAGAGAGAATGTGGCCAACGAAGAGATACTGGCTGATATTTTTCCAGAACATTAAAACAAAAACCAGACATTAAACCAGATTCAGGAGCACTATAATCCCCAGGTAGAATAAATACAAAGAAAATTACACCTAGGTTCACTGCAGTATAATTGCTAAAAACCTAAGACACAATGATGTATCAGCAAAAGGAAAACAGAAGTCAGAAAACAATAAAATGATATATTTAAAGTGCTAAAGTATTTACCAACTTTTACTTTTACAGAATATCTTTAAAGTGCTCAAGTATTTACCAACTTTTACAGAGTAAAAATATCCTTCAACATGAAGGCAAAATAAAGAAATTATCAAGAGAATTCATTAGATCTACAGTTAAAAAAAGGTGTTTTTCTGGTAGAAGGAAAATGATCCTAGGTAGAAGCACAGGCATGCAGGAAGGAATAGTGATAGAAAAAATTAAAATGTATGTAAATCTAAATGAATAATTTTTATGTAAAATAACAATAATGTCTTTTGGGCTTAAAATACATAGAAAGTCGAAATACACAACAACAATAGTGCAAACAGAGTGAGGACATTAAAATGGAGTTATAAGGTAACTGCTTTCCAGAATTGATACAATGATTTATAACAGATTTTGAAGACCCATGGACACATGATGTAATCTCTAGGGAAACCACCAAAAGAACTGTGTAAGAATGTATAACTAATAAGCTAATGAAGGGAAAATAATACACATATGAATTCATATAATTATTATTAATACCTCTGTAAGTGTATATGCTTCTTCAGCCGTGCACTCAGCCTTTGCTGTAGGATTACTTAATGCAAATATTACTGGCCTTTCATTGATACAGGCCATGGCTTTGATTACACCAGGAGTGAAAAGACGACCAGCACCTGCAACTCCTGTAATAAATAAAGGGGGAAAAAGGCAATTTCATGACAGGTATAAATGCTATCGATAAATAGCATTTCTACAATAGGTTTACCATAACAAAAGCATAGGTAATATCTCATCACAAAGACAGCACTATTTCAGCAATGCAAAATCTATGAGAACACAGTCTCAAATCTGAAAAGAAAAACAATAAAATGCTGAAAGTTTTCACTTAAATACTTATTATCTGCTACACACACAGTAAATTATGGGAAATTAAAAAAAAACAAAAAACTATCTCCATCACTCTCTCAAATTAAGAGACAAAACTTGCTAAAATATGAATAATCTTGAGGACATTATGCTAAGTAAAATAAGCAAGTCACAAAGAGATAAATACCATGTGATTCCACTTACATGAGGTACCTTTACTAGTCAAATTCATGGAGACAGAAAGTAGAATAGTAGTTGCCAGTGTCTGGGGGAAGGTGGAATTGTTGTTTAATGGGTACAGAATTTCAGTTTAACAAGATGAAGAGAGTTTTAGAGATTGGCTGCACAACAATGTGAATGTACTTAATGCTTCTGAACTATATATTTAAAAATTATTAAGATGGCAAATTTTGTTATGTGTATTTCACCATAATTAAAAACTTTTAGAAAAAGATAAAGTTTGTGTCCCAAATGTTAAATTGCTAATCTGTGGTACTCCTTATAAAACAGTAAGAATCCAGAAGGGATAAAAGATCATCTTGATGAAAGCAATCTACTTTCTTGAGACAGTTCAGTTTAATGACCTTTCATTAAGCCCCTACAACGTCCCAGACACTGTATTAGGCCATTAGAATATAAAAATGAGTACAATGCAGGCATCTTATGGTTGAGAGAAAAATAAGAAAGTAAAAAGAAAATCAGAAAACCTGTAACAGGTGCTATGACAGAAGTATGCAGTGTTGTGGAAGCACAGCAGGAAGGAAGGATACTTAAGCCATGGTGGAATTTGGGGATGACTACATGATGCCTCAGCTAAGTAGTACTTAAATAGTCCATCCAGTAAGATTACTTATATTAAAAAACTTTTTTCATTTTATTTCTTGACTCTCCACGTGAGTTTTGAGAGAAATGGACTAGAGGACCTATAAGATTTCTTCTTGCCCTAAAAAATTCTGATTGAGTTCTAACGAATGAAGCAGCTAATATAGACATCCTTTTCCTGATCATAGGAACTTACTGTTTGCGAGTGTGTTTTACTATTTACTCAATAGAGTCCTGCATGAAATAAAATTACAAGAAAAATTAATAGATTCAGATCTTACAGCTATACAGGAAATAAAATAGCACCTCTTTTTAAAGACTTTTACATTTTCAGTTGAGAACTTAATGCCATGTTGGCATAGGGTGATGTCAGCTATGCAATGCCTGAGTCAAAACGCACTGAAAGTTTTCAGCTTTGCTGCCAATGAAAGTCTTGGACACTGCATAGGATTTTCATGGTATAGTCTGCAAATGATCTTGTTCTGTTTTGTTTTTTTTTTTCCCATGTTTTGAGCCCAACAGTCATGCCAATTCTAAAAGCAAAGCATGATCAATTGCCTAGCTAGTGTCTAGCGCTTAAAAGTACAAGCAACATCTGTAACTGAACTTTCATGTACAGTAACCAAAAAGCTATCATAGAAAACATCATCTATGCCGAAAGCTAAGTAAAACTGTCAATTCATTTTTAGTAATCCTACATGGTAGTTATAACTGGCAACATACAGTTAAGGAATAATTTATCAAAATAGCTTTACTTACCAATTATAGCTGAAGGCTTAAGTATATTTACTGCATCTTCAAAAGTATCAGGTATGCTCTCTGGGGCTGAATGAGTAAATAGTTCTTGATGATTATCTATTTTGGCTTTCCGCCCCTGAATTTTGAGATAAAACACAGTATTTTTTGGTACATGCACATTGAAGATGAAATGAAGAGTTATCATTATGAGTTACATATTGTTTCTACAATAGAAATGTCTTTTCCTTTTCATTTACGTTCCTCTTCAGCCCCTATCTTCCAATTTTATCTTCACAGTGTCCATAAACTCAAATATAAAACAAAAATCAAATCTTATTATACCCAGAAACTTTCTAGCCCCTCTCAAAAAGTCATTTACTCTGTGAAGTCCTCCTAAATTCAATATGGCACAAATGCCTATAATCCTTTACATGGGCTAGATTAGTTTTGGAGTTAAGAATTTTTTATATTTTAGAAATGTAATATGGCAATATATCAAATATTATGAATTTCCCCCTCCCAACAGGCACCCCATAACTGAACTAACTTAAGAACAGTCATACCAAGTACAAAAGGTTAAGACTACAAAACAGCCTCTCATTAGTTTGGGTCAACTTTTGCTACCAGACAAGTTTAAATCAATCAGATTTGCCACCAAATGCATTTCAGGAAAAAAAAAAAAAAAACTTTGGGTTTTAAGAGCTTTTAGGATTTCAGAATTGCAGACTGACATCATGGACTTGTATTACCAAGAGTTCAGAAACAAGAGGAATAGGGAATTCTGGTTCAAGGTAGCTGAATGAAGAAACATGCTTTCCTTCCCAAATCCCAGGTCAGAAATAATAAAAAAATAAATCCTTAGTAGTGCCACAAAACCAGAAGATGTACCACTGATAGACTAGAACAGTGAAGAATTTCTCAAAGATTTAAAGGAGACAAAAACATATTGAATGCAAAAACCAACCAGGCTGAGAAACTCATATTCGTATTTTGGTAAGAGAAGACTTCCCCTGCAAAAGTCAATTTTTTCATCAGAATTCCAGAATAAGCCCAGATAAGAACCAGCAGGGGCTAGGAAAGAAGCACACCATCGTCCATTGGCTAAGAAGTTAATCAAAGGACTGAAATACAGCCTCAACAGACCTGGTTCTTGAAACAATGACTTCTTATGCTTGCCCCCAAGATTACCAAAGTTTAATACGGGGGTTCAACAGGAGACTCTCAGTCTCAAAATAAGAGGAAGCACATAGGGTCACTAGGAGACATTGGAAGCCTAAAGCCCATAGGTCAAGCTACCTGCACACTCTAAGAAAAATATATATTCTGATAACGAACAGGAAGATGAATAGGGATTCTCACTTGAGCAAAGGAAACACACCGTAGCTACCAATACTATGTTCATTTTAGACCTGACCTACCAAATATGATAAAGAATCACAACCCATTTGATGAAAAACAGCATTGCAAAAAGAAGCACCAAACCAACGTAAAAAAATATATATCCCCCCAATAGCTTTCTAAAAATATGATGTCTTATCTTTGCATCTTATACATTAGCAAGCATGGTAGTTATAGCCTCCTTGGAAGGTAGCACAATTTAACAATTCAGAGCATAAGCTTTAGAGCCAGGCTACTTGGATTTGAATCCGACCTCAATAACTTACAAACTAATGACCTTGGAAAAGTTCCCTGACCTTTTAAACTTCAGTTTTCTCATTTATAAAACTTCACAGGATTTTTGAGAGGATTAAAGGAGATAATACATGTAAAGTCTTATTACAATGTCTGGTACATCTTAAACTACTATTATTTTAAATTATAGGTAGTTTAAGTACTCAAGATTTTTCATTAACACACTTGAATTTTTCATTTTATTTTTTGTACTAATATAATACTGATACTAATTAAGAAGAAAAGATTTCCAAGCTGGAAGAAAGTACATGGAGATCACTTGCTCCATGGACGTAAATGCCAAGTAACCAATATACCATTAAATTATGATGTGCACATACAAAAATACAATAGCATTGTATACTGGATAGGTTCAACTATGAAACAATTTACCTATATTTCAATGTGTTACACAGTATAAGATATATGACATTCTTAAGATAATAAAAAATGGTAATCAATGTTAAAGAAGGTAGGCAGGCCCAAAGGGTACTAAGTTAATCTGGGAGAGAAGTTCTTTATTATCAATAAATTGGTTTCAGGAGTACATGCTTTTTTCTGGGGAAAGGGTCCATAGATTTTTATTAGATTGCTACAGGGCATTATGATTTCCAAAGGGTTAAAGAATTTCTGCTCAAATATCAGATGTACTGATAATACTGTAATTTAATTAAGAAGTTCTAAGTTCCCATTAAAAATTTAGTTTTATTAACAGAAGGGTCAAATATAATCATTCTTATACAATGGCTATTTGATCTCTTAAGAGCAAGAGAACAAAGAGTAAGTCAGCTGCCAACATAGAGACTGTGATTTACATACGAAGCAAGTCTTGAGACTAGAGGATCTCTGTTGAAAATATAGTGGAAAGTCCTAACTGGTACAATCTGGATAGCCCAGTGAGATGCAAGATTTCAAGAAATGATAATAATTTAAAAACTCAACTAAAAATATCAGAACAACTTACTTTTGCTTCTCTAAATTTTAAATACCTTACCTTAACTAATAAACCATACTTGTCAAACATCCAGATTTTCTTCTGTGCCTCTTCTTCTGAGAGGCCATTTTCTACCATAGACATAACTATGAGATTTGCAATTCCAAGAGCAGCCTGTCCAACAAAACATACATTTTAAGAACAAAGAGTATAACACAGTGCTTGAATTACTTTATATATGAAAATTATATATTATGAGCAATACTTGGTTTATTCTTTCATCACAAATCAAACAAATGTTGATTCTTTGTGATATTCCCTCTAAACTTAAATTGCTTATTTTACAAAAGAAGTCTTGAATTCATACCCTCTATCTCAACAAAATTAGAAGCTCATTATGCTCTTTTCAACATTCTGTCCCAGTTTCCAATTATAAAGGAGAGTGTTGCTTTTAGTTTTTAAAAGTTTACAAGAACTTACCTCTCCTGCTCCAAGAAATAAGATTTTGTGTTCTGAGATAGGTTTACTAATAACTTTTTGTGCTGCAAGAAGACCTGCTAGAGCTACTGCAGCAGTCCCTGTAAGAAAAATAACGATTTTTACAAATAAAAAATGGGCACAATAAAAATGTTTAAAAAGTAGGAATCAAAAATTTAAAGTTTTCTTTTTGTTTTACCTTGAATATCATCATTAAAAGTACAATATTTTTCTCGATATTTTCTCAAGAACCTGAATGCATTATGATTTCCAAAGTCTTCAAACTGAATAAGTGTGTTCCGGCCGTATCTACAAACAGCAAACCCCACAATTGTTGTGTTGAAAATATCAGTATTAAACAGCTTTCCTTATGTCCAACATTCCTTATGACAGCATTTAAAAATGTTATTATGTTAGTTCAATTAAGGTCATTTGAAAATTTTCAGAGCCTGTGAAAGACTAGACCCGAAATGTAGAAATCTATTAATCAAAATAAAAAAAAATGTATGGGGTACTTAAAAAGAATATGTACCACGATGAGCCCACAGGATACCAATCTATGTAAACTGTTTCTAAGTGTCTAGGAGGGTGCCTAGCACACATACACACTAAATAACTTCCTAAAAGAAAGAGACTCTATCTCCGAGTCTCAAAAAGTATATATTTGGTATGTATATTCTTATCACATTAACAGTTAAACAGGGGCATAGGAAAGTATATATTAAATAAGTAGTAAAAAATAATTGCTTTATGAGTTTATTGACATTCAGAAAAAGAAGATGTCAACATCTAGGTGACTTAGGGTAATAAGGGAAGGCCTGAAAAGGAAGTGGGACTTTATTTGGGCCCTGAAAGAAGAACAAAAAGTAAAGAAGTGGGAAGAAAAGCAAGGTGTATATGGGTGACCCTGAATTTTTAACAGTCTGGCTATATATTTCAAAGTTTATGTTAAAAGACAAGGGAGAACTTGGTTAAGGTCGGTTGGGGCCAAATAATGGAGAATCTTGAATGCTAAATTAGAGAATAAGGAATTTCTTCTGCATCCCATGTAGAACCACTGAAGGCTACAGAGAAGGAAAGAATTCATATAAGACTCCCTTTAGGAAGGGCAAACCTGCCAGTGATATGCAGCACATACTGGTGTGGGGAGAGATGAGAACGACAGAAGCAGCTAAGAGGCTACACTGATACAAGGACAAGAGATCTGAAGCAGAAGACACAGGAAGCAAAAGGGACATAACTATGAGACATCAGAATGAACAAACAGAAATTGATGATGAGGATCAACTGGGAAGTATGGAAGAAGTTGTTACAATGTCAAGGCAACCTAAATGACTAAGATACTATTTGGTTGTTCAAGGTGTGGAAGAAGGGGAGACGGCCACTTCTGGCAAGTCAAAAAATTCAGCTTTAGATATGTCAACTTTGACTCCAAAATGAAACTAATTCTTGAGTATTTTCTACGTGCCAGTAATTTAAAAGGTAGGCTAAGGCTCGATTATTAAGGTAAAGAGTTTGGACTTTACCCTATGGCAATAGGACACTAATGAGCTATTTTGAGTGAAAGAATGATACAATGAAGGATGTGTTTTTAAAAGATTAATCCGATGTTAAGGTGTAGATGAACTGGAGAGAAGAGAAATTGGAGGAAGGATTAGAAGAATCCAGAAGAGAGATAAGGAGTGTGGCAATGGAAAACAAGAGACAGATTTCTGAGGCATATAAGTGTTAGTATCAGCTGGATTTGAGGAATATTTGACTGCATGGAGGGGTTGATAGCGAAGGAGGAAGAGTCACAGATAATACCGAGACCAAAGGTTTGGCAACAGGGTGAATGTTACTGCCAATAATAGAGACATTATAGCAAAAATAACAACAATAATAATAGATTCCAGTTATTAGAAATACATGCCTCAGAAGGGCAGTGCGACCACAGAGACGGTTTTCATAGGTTTCGGACTCACATGTATCAAGGTCACAGTTTACATGACTCAAAAACAGTACTATTCAGTTATCCACATTTAATAAAAGAGAGCAAGAAGAACCAGTAAAGATGATAAAAGAAAGGTGGGAGAAAGACCAAGTTAGGAAAGTCTTTTGGTAGTCAAAAGAGAGAGTTTCAAGGACCTAGGAGTAGGAAAACGTGGTCAGATGTTGCAAAGAGATAGAAAGGAAGGAAGATCAAATGGTCAGGGAATTTAAAACACAAAAGCTACAGGAGAACTCCAGTGGAATGGTGGGAGTGACCCTGGGCGTCAAGGGCTGAAAGGAGGACTGAGCAGTGAGGGTTTGAGAGACGCAGTGAGGGCAGACTTCTCTCATGATGTCGGGGAACTCAAGAAAGCAAGGCAGAGCATGAATACCTCCTTGTATCAGCACATCTAATCAGACAGAAAAGAACCAAAGTTCTCAAAAATTTAATCTCCTGCCTATCTTCACAAGAGATAAAGGAAAACAAAACAGAACTGTGGTTCCTGCTCCCCCCCTCATTAAAGGTGCTTTCATATACTCAAACTACTTTTTTAATACCTGTCAGTAATAGCTTTCATAAACTCATCAATCAGGTCATCATAATGTTGCGAGCGATCTCGTTTCTGATACAAGCCCATGTAAAATGGGTCTTTTAAGAGTGCCTATAAAAGAAACCAAATGTAAAAATAAAATCATTTTTGTTACATAACCAGTTTAAACACACAAAAATGGTAAAATAAAAAAAATACAATTTTTAAAACTTCATTGCCCTTTAAGAAACTTTTAATAGGCTTAATTTACTACAGTTTATACAAATATTGTAAATAGAGTTTAAGGAAATGACCAACATCCCCTCACAAAATTTTCCCTTCTTCAACTATCTTCAAAAGATGAATATAGAAAGTTTTAAAAATATAGGAAGAAGATCAAAGGGGGAGAATGATATTACTCACTACATTATCAGTTCCCACATCAATACACACAGGCAGGCATTTATCAGGCTGTATTCCTGCACAAGCCGTATACAAACAAAGTTTTCCTACTGGAATTCCCATTCCATAGACACCCAGATCTCCAAGACCCAGAATTCTCTCTCCATCAGTCACCACAACAGCCTTAATCACAAAAAAAAAAAAAAAAAAAAAAAAAAAGGCAAATTAAAAGTTGTCAAAAATGAGGCACCATAGAGAAGCATTTAAAAAAAGTTGATTCATTTCACATATTTTCACTCTCACTTTTAAAAAAGAAAATTGTTTCTTGACTAACTTCCAATGTAAACCAACCAAGCATATTTAAAATTCTAGGATTTCTGACTATTATAAGATATTAAAAAGCGAATTAACTGGATTTGATTTCCCTTTGACTTCGGTTTAGGAATAGAATGTTTTTTGACTAGAGGACCAACTTAAATGTCTTCAGAAAGACTAAATATGGCAGAAGTGAACAAAATTTTGATGGAAAGATTACCACAAGAGAAAAATAAGAGTTTAGAATTAAACAGCATGAGACTTCGACACAATAACCTAGGCCAAACGAGAAAAACCTTAGCAACCATGAAAGAGAAAAACATCCAGGACAAAAAATAAACCTACCTATGAGGTTTTAAGATGATATTGTGAGTTTAATTATTTGATGAAGTATTTTTCTAGCTTATTCATACTAATGATTGTTCACCAACGTTTACTTTGGTAAGGAATACATACATAATAAAGGCAAGTAAGATCACTACCTATAATAAAAACAAAAGCCTATCAAAAGATCTTGAAATAAGCTCTTACTTTTTATTTTATGAAAGATAGCCAGATTGACCATGGTTTATATTTGCTAAATTTAAAACTCTCGTATTTGCTAAGGATCTAAATCTATCTTGATTTTAAAGGAAAAAAAGACATAACCGATCCTTTCCAACACCCTACAGAATAAAAGTTTTTATGGCATTTTAATGCATTTTCTCTACCTAGAATAATATTAGTGAAATAGAAGAGGAATATAGAGAAAACAAGAGACACCAGTGGTGCTGACACTGAGAGAGCTCACCTTGTAATACTAGCTCCAATTTTTTTCTCAAACATTAAACTAGTAAACCATTTTTTAACTATTACTATTATCATAACCTCAAATACAAAGTACTAAATCTGCATGTATATAAATGCAAAATAAATCAGAGCAACAATGAAAAACTTTTTGAATATTCAGAGGCAATTTACAAGGAAAGAGAAAAGCATTGTGAAAAGGAGGGTTGTGCTATTAGTACCTTAACATGATTTTCTGGCCAGTTATCCACAATTGATCTAACATGACCTCTGTCTGAGATTGAAATAAATAATCCCCTGCAACAGAACAAAAACATCTTTGCATTTCACAACAGTTTTATTTCTAAGTTTTTGTTCATAATTGGAATATTTAGGTATTTTAATAAAACATCAAGACATGGTATAATTTCCAAGCAGATTTAGCTAAGTCACACTGGTTTATTTTCAAACTGTAATTACATTGTTCACATAACAGCTGCACAAAGATTATTGTTAAATGATAGGATCATTTTACCCAAGAAGAAATGTACCCACACTTAATACCCAAATAAACTCAATACAGGCCAGGCATGGTGGCTCATGCCTGTAATCCTAGCACTCTGGGAGGCTGAGATGGGAGGATTGCTTGAGGTCAGGAGTTTGAGACCAGCCTCAGCAAAAGCGAGACTCTGTCTTTACTAAAAATAGAAAGAAATTAGCTAGACAACCAAAAATAGAAAAAATTAGCTAGGCGTGGTGGTGCACGCCTGTCGTCCCAGCTACCCACGAGGCTGAAGCAGGAGGACTGTTTGAGCCCAAGAGTTTGAGGTTGCTGTGAGCTAGGCTGATGCCATGGCACTCTAGCCCAGGCAACAGAGCAAGACTCTGTCTCAAAAACAACGACAACAAAAAACCCTCAATACATCTCCAGTAAAAAAAAAAATGAAATCCACAAAAAAATTAAAGATAAACCACCAATGTAGGAGTGCAAAACAAGGCCAATAAACTACTGTTAAAACTAAAAACCAAAAATCTGAAATTTGAAGGAACAGGAAGGGAAGGAAGAAAATTATGTTAAATTCACATACAAGATGACACACCTAAAGCATTAGAAAAGTGAAAAATTATTTTTATTTTTTAATTGACAAAAATTGTATATACAGTTGACCCCTGAACAATGTGGGAGTTAGAAAATCAAAAGTTGAATATCCATGTATAACTTTTGACTCTCCAAAAATATAACTACTAATAGCCTGTTGACCAAAAGCCTTACCTATAACGTAAGTTGATTAACACATATTTTGTATGTTGTATGTGTCATATACTGTATTTTTGCAATAAAGTAAGCTACAGAAAAGAAATTATTATTAAGAAAAGAGGACGGGTTGGTCTTGCTGTCTCAGAGGTGGAAGAAAATCTGTGTTGTTCAAGGGTCAATTGTATTTATCATGTACATGTTTTGAAATATGTATACATATTTCATATGTGGAATGGCTAATGAAAAGTTATTTTAAACACAATATACTGCTATCTAATTGAGATAATTAATCCAGATTTCACAAGAGAAAGGAGGAAAGCAGAAAAATAGAAAAGAAATATAGGTTCTAGAAAACATGTCAGGTAGAGATGAGGGCCAACAGGTCCCCATTGCCTTCAAACAGATTCTTACATTTAACTTTCTCATTGGTATCTTAACTTTGGCATTATTATTGTAGTTCAAATCAGTTTAGTTCAGCAGTTTCTCAACCATGGCTACATAATAGGCTCAACTGATGAGACTTTTAAAGTGCCGGGGTCCCACCTCCAGAGATTCTGATTTAACTGGCTTAGACTTTGCATCAATCAGCCAAGATTTACCAACCATCTTCTTATGTAAAAAACAAACAAAAAATCCCACTGCACAATACACTACAAAAATAAAATACAGCAGCTACCCTCACCCAAAAGCCGTGCTCTTTATGTTTCATGTCAGTTCTCAACTCTGAGGGTGCACATCATAATCACATCAGGAGCCTTGATGAAACCCCCACACCTGGGCCCGAGTCTAGACTAACCGAATCAGAATCTCTGTGGGTGGAGCTCAGGCATCAGTATCTTTAAGTATCCCTTTATCCTTTAATCTAGGTTGAGCACCACTATTCTAATAAGAAACTACAAAAGAGTTGAACAGCATATCATAGAAATGTTTTAGATACATTAACTGATGGCAGCATATACGTCAGAACAGTGTTTCCTCAGTGTCTTCCAGGGAATACCTGCAACATAATCACTGAGGATGTTCACTAAAATCCAGACCTCCAGACCTCTTATTCATCAGAAATCTTGGGGATGGGAAGGAGAGGAAAGTTGGCAGAGATTAACAATTCAATAAGTTCCACAGGTGTTTCTTATGCACATTAAAGTTTGAAAGGCATCAGACTCAATGACAGGAGACTGAAGATAAATGCTGTCATACCTTGTCTGAATTTCTACATTTGTATCAGTATGTTAGCCGGTATGGGAAAAATATAAGGATTGGAGAAAATGATAACAGGTTAGAGTAACAAGGTAAGAAAACTCAAATTAAGTAAAAATAGTTATTTATATAATGCTCATAAGTTAATAAAGAACTGTCCTATCAGTTTCTTCTCAATAGTTCTTCGATAGGTACTGCTATCTGCATTTTACACGAGAGGACATATCCAGAGGACTATGTGACTCATTCAAGGCCTTAAGGCAATGGCCCATTCCAGTACTCTTCTCACTTAAAATATTTGGAGGTGCTAGAACTATTTGAAATTAGAATTCATGAAAGTTCACAAAAAAGGAGAACAATCAACAGGAATTAAAGCTAACATAAAATGAGAAAGAACCAATCCTGTATTTTAGCCAGATTGACAAAACATTTCATGGTAACTCTGGAGAATCTGCCATCAGAATTAAGACTTTTTTTGGTTCCAAAAGTACCCAATTCCTCTAACAATCACAATAATTTAAAGAAGGTCAGGAATGAATAATGCTATTTCTACAAAGATAAAAGTTGTGAATATGTTGGTTTTTTTATTAATCCCTATAAATCCAAATTAAGCTTTTGTAAGGTGAGAAATGTGGTTGGGATAAGACTGTAACACATAAAATAGAACTATAATAGTGTTATGGAATGATATTTTCCTCATACAATAATGATTTACAATTATATTTTTTAAAATAAGCCTTACTTAGGTCTTCTAAAGATGTGTCCATACTGCGAGCAGGCAAGCCCAACTGTTGGTGTATATACAATTGGCATTAAGCTTTCGATATCATCTTGCAGTATTCTATAAAACAATTTCTCATTTCTTTCTTGTATTCCCATTATATAGATGTATCTGAAATTAAGCAAAGTAAACAATGTCTGAGTCAGCCTGCATTACATTAAAAGCTTTGGCTTAAGAAAATTAAGTCTAAACATATAAAATTGAAATTGAGACCCCCTCCCATGTCCACACTTCAAAGAAACACAAAACCCTAATTTATCACTATTTAACAGCTAGGACTAAAAATCAACAAAAATATAAGGGTACTTAAAGGGCAGATGAAGATGATGATGAAAATAACAACACAAACAACACCTAAAGTTTACTGAGCCCTTCCTATGAGTCAGGCTCTGTACAAGGCACTGGAAATGGAAAGATCATCTTAAGCAGGGGTCCTCAACCTATGGTGAGGTGTATAATTATTTTGTTATATATTACAACATAATAATAATATAAGTAAAGGGCACAATAAATGTAATGCACTTGAATCATCCCGAAACCATCGTCCCCCTAACCCCTGCCCCTGTCTATGGGAAAAATTGTCTTCCATGAAAATGGCCTCTAGTGCCAAAAAGGTTGGGGACCACTGCCTTAAGGAATTGATCTTTGAGGAGACTGACAAGTAAAAAAGGAAGCAAAAGAAAGTGGCATTCATTCAAATGTTAGCTTAACACCACATGCCAGGCACTACTTTGAACTTCAGGGATGTAAGAAGTGACCCTGCCCTTAAGAAGTTTATAACCCAGTAGGGTTATAAGCATTAGGAGGTCTGCATAGAGCACAGAGGCAGCACAAAGGAGGCCAATGGTCAATTCGTGTAAACAAATATATAAGTAGCTTCTTTTCAAGTTTAAAGAACAGGGAAATACTGGCTTGAAAACCAGTAATCATCTTGAATGAAATACGTCTAAAACAGACATGTTTCCTCCAAACATGTTTCTTCTCCTTGTACCATCTGACCAAACGGGAAACCCAGAGTCCATTCTTGATTTCTTCCTTTCTCGTCCTCCCCTACACCAGTCTAATAAATCACCAAGTCCCACAGAGTCTACCCTTGCCCAGTCCAAGCCACCATCACTTCTCACGTGGACTACCTCAAGAACCTTCTAACTAGCTTTGTTGTTGTTGTTGTTTGTTTGTTTTAAGAGACAGGGTTTCACTCTGTTGCCCAGGCTGGATGATGTGCAGTGGTCCTATAATCATGTCCTCCAAATGCACTCAGGTGGCATGCTCTCTGGGGGCCCTTCTCTGCCCACTCCTCTCCCCCACCACATATACACACACACACACACACACACACATTAGACTTTTCTGTTTTCCCATGATGCCCTGCTGCCTGTTCTGTAACCCACACTCCCCTTCTTGACTTTCCAGCTTCCCTCCAGCCTAGACAATACCATGAGCTAGGGACTATCACCTCATATACTTCTAGATTTCCAGGAACTAGCCAAGTACGTGGCACACAACTGGTGTGCAAATATTTGGTGACTAAGGAGAAATGATCCATTTAGAAGAGGAATTATATTTTCTATATAGCACCAGGGGCAGAAATGGTATCAATAGGTAGAAATTAAAGGGAAGCAGATTTTTCCTCAGTATAGGGTAGTAAGCAAACAACTGAGTTGTTATTAATAAGATGGCTTTGTGAAAGAGATAGCAGAGATATTAAGGAAAGAACAGGTGACCTTTCAGGCATGTGACAGAGGGAAGTTATGCAAGTTGTGGACTTCTTTAATGTTATCACTCTCACCTTCGTTTCACTTTAGTCACTCTCTGTGTTCCTCGCAGGGATGCTGGAGCACTCACCCAGGACCGTTACAGCTCAGAAATGGTGAATGCCCTTATTCCACTCTCAGATCACAACCCTTTACCACTTTGGATAGCTGAATAACGCCCTCACTTCATCATCCTTCCAGGGATCTTTAGCTCCTTGATCCCTTCATTTTCTCCCATTCTATTAGCTCCCTTTGGGATCCTCTTCATTCCCTACTGGATTCCATAATCAAATCTCTCACTCCAAGCAAATCTTTCCCTGTCATTACACCATCTTTACCACTGCACCGCCCACCCAGACAGTGAATTCCCTGAAAGGAAGGACTAGGTTTTTTCATTTTTTGAGTTCCAGAGCTTAGACCAATGTCTAGCACATAACAGCCCTGAATGAGTATTAGCTTAATTAATGTAGCACCTTCACTAGCCCAGCAAACTCCAAACCTGAATCAATGTTACATTTCATCTTTTCTATGGAAAAATAACATTGCTGTTCAGAATGGCACCCATACAAACAAGATTATATTGACAGGCTGTCAGGGCCTGTTCAATTCCTTTAACCTGCCCTTGCAGCTTTATCTCATAGCTACATGACTCTTCCAAACATTTACCACTCTCCTTCACCAACCTATTCAACCCTGGCCCTTCTAAAACTGAGCCATGATCTTCATATTTTATATCATAAAGAAAATCAAGGTCAAAGAGGTTAAATGAGATCTCATTATCTCTGCTCCAACACCTCCATACTTATTCTTACTAATAGCTATATTTATCTTCTTTACTCCTGCCTCGGAGAATGAACTGTTCTTTGTTCTTGTTCAAGGCCAGCCTCTCTACCTCTGCACTTGACCCTGTGCCTTTTTCCTGAGACCTTGCTCTATCAATTATTCTTTCTCCTGGGCTCATTCACGTTCAGTTTCCTCCCAGCCTAAAACATACTTCAACCCAAGTCCTCCTTTACTTATTTACTGTTAATGTCCTTCTCTCCCCTCTTGCCTGAACTTACTGAGAGCGGTTTACATTTCCTTCCCTCCCATTCATTTTTCAATCCATTGCAGTCTCCATTTTGCCCCATCATATCAAAGAAATCTCTCTCACCAGTCACCAATAATCCCCTATACTTAACAAACCTAATGGATATGTTTCGCCTGTATTCAGACTGATCCCTTTACCCAGAATAAGTTGTCTTTCTTTCTCATTAGCCTGCTACCTGCAGCATATTGTTTAAAATTCAGCTCAGCCAGCATAGTGGTGTGTGCCTGTAGTCCCAGCTACTTGAAAGGCTGAGGTGGGAGGATCACTTGAAGCCAGGAGTTTGATGCTGCACTGTGCTATGATCGAGCCTGTGAATAGCCACTGCACTGCACTCCAGCCTGGTGGGCAACATAGTGAGACCTCATCTCTTAAAAAAATTCAGCTCTTGCATCACTTCCTCCAGGAAGCTTTACCTGATTCCTCAAGTTGGGCTAGGTATCCCAGATGCTTCCAGAATATACCTTGCATGTACCTTTTTCTTATTGTACCTCACATTGTGGTCCGAGTACAGTGACAAACAAAGTGTAACTATCTACTGATGAGCTTCTAGAAGACAGGGCTGTGCATTGCTGGGTTGGTCATACATTCTAGTTTTCCAGGGACAGTTTTGGTCACACCTCTTTTCACTCCTCAAAGTGCCTGGATTAGATGATATAGTAAATGGTTGCCCTATCTACTACCTACTTGATATCCTCAGTGGCTAGTATAGTGTCACACACAAAGTAGGTGATCAACAGATGTTGTCAAATAAAATGGGCACAAATTAGATGGTAACCTTTGCTTCTAATGTTCTAGTAAAACCTGAAATGCTCTGAGTTTAAGCATAAAAACTGATTTCTGCTAAATTTTACAACAGTGAACACAGTGAAGTAGTCACTGAAGTGAGAGAAATAATCATTATAAAAATAGTTAACTGACAAAAACACAAACTATTAAGAGACTATATATTTCTCATGCTATAACCATAATGCTCCCAATATCCCTAATCAAAATATCAACAAAAAAACAAAACATTTAACCAACTCTTACTTTTCCAAAGGGTTACTCATTTTTTTCAAGTTTCTGTGGAATCGTAAGGCTTGAATATCTTGTGTCTCTATTTTGGGAGGTAGAAGTCCTTGAAGACCAAGCATTTGTCGTTCCTGTAATGTAAATGCCATTCCCTGAAGAGGAGAAATAAAAAGATAAAATATTATTTTTGCCCAGACACGGGGAACAAAGTTACTCTCATATACCATTGTTGGGAATGTAAACTAGTTTAGGCTTTGGAAGACAATTTTAAAGTATTCTTAAATTTCTTAATGCACATACTCTTCAATGAAGCAATTCAACTTCTAGCTAGCCATCTTAGAGAAACAGTCACACATGAAGTAAAGAGGCATATACAAAGAGATTAGTTGTAGTATTGTTTCTAGTTCTCTTGGCTGTTAAAAACTAAAAGTCCATGAATTATGATATAGTTAAGCATCCTATGGTATTTCCATACCATGAATATCACAGAAATAGTTAAACATATATGTCTAAGCATATTGTAGAAAGATCTCCAAGACATATAGTTAAAAAAAAAAAGCAAGTTCCAAATCAAAGCCAACTGTTAACCCATTCATGTTTAGAAAACCCACATAAAACTATATATTATACACAGATGCATGCACACATTGTAAGTGAAGTCAACAGAATACAGTTTGAAAGAATATAAACCAACTCATAGCAGAGGCTACCTCTCCACTCTGAAAGGAGTGAGGCTGGGTGGGGGGTGCGGGAAGGAGGACAGAAGAAATGATACCTAAGGAAAAACTAATCTATGTCATAAGAAAATCTTTTTCAATTTCTGGTGTTCTGCTGGGTTACATTCATTGCATCAAAGCAATGTCAGTGAAAATGCTGGACACTAAGGACTTCGGAAAATTTTTTCCTCCATAAAAGCAACAAGAACACTGGCCAAGTAATCACAATCACCTTTTGGAATACTGAAAATTAACCAAAGGTTTGTAGTTTCTATTGGGGAGCACTTATTCAAGAAAAACAGTTGAATTTTAGTAAACAGAAAACTTTGTGACATTTTATCATGCTCCCCTCTCTAGCTCCATGGTAGTCTTGAAAACCAACAGCTCACAATCACTGTGAAAATCAACAGCCTGGAACAACCACTGGAGGGGAAAGAAGGGGCTAGAGATTCTTCCAAAGCCCCATTCTCAAAAAAATGTCATTATTTGACCTATCTGGTGGTTCCCTGGAAGACTCCATTTGCACAGCTGTCCTTATTTGACCTAACTTGGAGCTCACTCAGTGGAAACAGTCTTTCCGCCGCAGAAGTGCTTGTTGAAAACAACCAGAGGCAATTATTCAGTAAGGCAGCTGCTGAGGCAGCCGATAACAGTGAGGCAAACAATAGGGTAACCAAAAAGCTGAAAGAGAAAGGCTAAGCAATGAGATGTCCTTGAGAGGGGCCCTCTGACAAGCTCTGAGGTGGTACTGGGAATCAAGAAGGCCAATGCATGAGCTGTGGACATGCCCAGGAAAGACTTGAGAAGGCCCTAAGCTCCCACTGCTGGCTGACCTTGAGGCTCTGTGCAAGCAGGAAGTGAAGGCTGATGTGTGGTTGGAAACAGGCTGGCTAAGTGCTGGAGGCACGCCCTAGCAAGCACACAGAGTTCCTTGACAAAGAATGGGGAACGTACTGGTTCTAAACATTTAAGTCCTTGTCTAATCATTAGCTGACCACTAAAGTAACCAAGCAGAGACTTCAGAAGGCATACAGAACAGGAATACAGATTTTATAATTAGTTCAGAAATGTCACTAAATAAGCAAAAGCAGCAGCAACACAACAAACCCAAGAAGGAGTATCTGATTTCCAGAGCTGACACATTGTTTAAAATGTCCAGTTTACAAAAAACAAAAAAGTCATGAGATATACAAGAGAGTCTGGTTCATATACATGAAAAAAGGCAGTTAATAGAAACTGTCCTTGAGGAAGCCCTGACATTGTACTTACTAGACAAAGACTTTAAATCAGTAACTTTAAACACATTCAAAGAACTAAAGGACACTATGTTTAAGGAACTAAAGGAAAGTATGAGAATGATGTTCCACCAATTAAGAGAATATCAATAAAGTTATAGAAATTACAAAAAAGAACCATATAGAAATTCTGGGGTTTAAAGTACAATAAATGACATAAAAAATTCATTAAAGGGGCTCATCAGCAGATTCGAGCAAGTGGAGGAAAGAATCAGTGAAATTAAAAATAGGTCAACTGAGATCATCCAGTCTAAGAAACAGAAAGAAAAAAGAATGAAGAGGTATGAACAGAGACTCATCAAGTGTGCCAACATATGCATAACAGAGACCCAGGAAAAAAGAGAAAGAGGAAGAAGAATATTTGAAGAAATAACACCCCCAAACCTCCCAAATATTACGGGAAACATTAATCTACACATCCAAGAAGCTCAACTCCAAGTATGATAACTCAAATAAATGTATACATAGACACATCATAATCAAACTGTCAAAAGACAAAGAGAGAAATCTGAAAGTAGAGAGAAGTGACTTATCATGTATAAGGAATCCTCAGTATGTTTAACAGCTAATTTCTTATCAGAAACCATGGAGGCTAGAAGGCAGTGGGATGACATATTTAAAGTGCTGAAAGAAAGAAACTGTCAAGCAAGAGTTTCTATTAATGTGTCCTGCAAAACTATTCTTCAGAACGAAGGAGAAATTAAGATATTCCCAGCTAAACAATTATTGAGAAAATTTGTTACTAGCAGACCTACCCCATAAGAAATATCAAAGAGAGTCCTACAGGCTGAAATGGAAAGACACTAGACAGTAACTCAAATATACACAAAGATACAAAGAGCAACTTTTTTCCTCCTGATTTAAAAGATAACTGTATAAAGCAATAATTATATATCTCTGTTGACGGAAACACAACACATAAAGATGTAATCTGTACAACAAAACAGCACAAAATCTGGGGATAGAGCTATATAGGAGTAAAGTTTTTGTACACTATTGAAATTAAGTTGGTATTAATGTGAATTAGATTGTTATAAAGATGTTCATTGTAATCTCCAGGGCAAACCACTAAGAAATTTAACAGGTAGTAAAAGGAAATATAAGAGAATTAAAATGGTAGACTAGAAAATATCTATTTAACATAGAGGAAGACAGTAATGGAGGAACAGAGAAACAAAAAAAGACTTATAGAAAACAAATAGCAAAATGGCAGATGTAAATCCTACCTTATCAGTCATTACATTAATGTAAATGGATTAAACTCAGGGATTGGCTGAATAGATGAAATAACACTACATCAACACTAAAGATGACACAGTCAGTAAGGGGTTAAGGTGGTACTCTTATCAGCTTTTGTGATTCCAAATCTACCTACTACACTATTACACAGCCATATATTATAAGGCTTATCAAACATTATGAAGATAAATTTACAATTTATTTTTCCAGTGGTAAAATGGTATATGAAACTATATACTACGATCTTAAAAGTAAATACAGTTTTAAGAGGACATGGCAAAATAAAAACAGACAATATACTGGAATGGTAGGAATATTATTAGAAAAGTAAGCCAAATAAGCATGGGCAGAAAAGGAGAAATCCAATATTACACTTGTACAGCCCTTTAAATGTTTCAAAATGCTATTACCTACATTATCTACATGAGAAAACTGAGGCCTACAGAGGTTAAATGATTTGCCAGAGTTTCATGGCTAGTAAATGGCAGAGCTCAAATTAGCACCTAAACTCCTGCTTATAATCCAGCATATGATGTCCAAGCTTTTAAAGTATAAGAAATTTTTTAAAATTTTCATAAAGAATTTCATGTTTATACCTGAATAGGCAAATCTACAGAAAAAGAAAGCAGAAGCTGGGAGGGCAGTGGAAATGGGGAGCATCTGCTTAATGGGTATTAGGTTTCCATTTGAGATAATGAAAAGTTCTAGAAGTAGATAGTGGTGATGGTACAAAACTGAATGTACTTAATGTTACTGAACTGTAAAGTTTTTAATGGTTAAAACTGTAAATTTCACATTATGTTTATCACAATAAAAAAGTTTTATAAACATAACAGGTACACAGTGATTACAGACATTTATTTCAAAAGATTCAGAATTCAGTACTGCCTTTAATTACTAATTCATTAACCACAGCAGCAACATACTCTTAAAAATAGTATTTATACATATGTGAAAATTAATTCAGTCTACAATGTTTGAAGCACAAACTTGATTTAACATTTCTTAAGTCCCTAAGAAGTTCATAACCCATGAATTTGGAATCACTGGTCTATGCTCTTTCTTAAACAAAAACAAACTCTTTCTGAATTTTAAGGGATTTCCAGAAGTTGCCCTTCAATGATGTAACTATACAGATGTTACTCAACCTCAGAGATTTCAGAAGCATTAGATCTTATTTTAGAGATTCCAGAGCATTAGATCTTATTTTCTTTATCAAAGTACTGTAATGCATTTAAGACTATCCTCCCTCTTGAAATTTGTTTGCCACTCAATGTGCTTTGTAAGTTTCTCATAACCCCTAAGTCTCCAGAGCAGGTATTAAATAAATTATTTTCATAAGGATAAAAAAGAACACAAACCAACATATTCATCAAATGTCTACTCTACACACAGCACTATAAAAGATACAAAGAAGTATCTGAATGGTCCCTGCCCAAAAGGAACCTGAAATATAGTCAAGATAATATAAATTCATGAAAATATAACTACCATCGATGATTTCAGTAAGAGCTTAAGACATCTAAAGAAACATAAAGCAACACATATTGATTACTTGTCAAAGAAACAGGAAGATAGAAACTGCTATGAAGTTTCAGAGGAGGGAGCAATTACTTTTGTCTATGGTGTATGAAAAGGCTCTAGAGGAAAACTCAATTTCAAATAACTTGCACCTTGAAGAGCAAACAAGATTTGAGGATATTAGGCAAAAACAAGAGAGGACTAAAATATCCTTCTTTAAGCTTCATTTAATTCACTAATTGCTTGCTGAATTCTCATTCTGTACCAGATACCAAAAATTCAAAGATGAGGTGCTCCGTGTGACCTATGGTTAAATTTCCCCTTCTAGGCCTGACACCCCTCAAAACTTACCATAGTATACAATTAATTGTTTTCTCCGATGACAGGAAATAAATGGGACTGGCAAATTTTTGATGACTGTTCTTTTAAAATAAGTCACACTTTTAATCTGAATGTACCTTTCCCAAAAAGGTAAATTTCACATATTACAATAAACTCAATGTATCCTCTTAAAAGCTTCCTCTAAAAAGTTTTTCCAGAATTATATTTACTTACTATTTAATACTCCTGCAATGAAAAAACAGAGAGGGACTTGCCTACTGAACCCAGCTTAGATAAAGGATGATTGGATCTCAATATCGCCCAACACTTCTATCCCAAGAGTGGTAATAAAAAGTTAGAGGTCTCTCTCTCTCTTTTGAAGCAGTAGTCTAATTAATAGGCAAAATTATTTGTGTGCAATGGTCTGTGTCCAAAAAGCTGGGTGCAGGTGGGGTGGGGTAGACTTTAAATAAAGGTTCATTTCACAATTTTGACTCCACCTTCCAAGAGCCTAACTGATTGGCTCAGGTTAAGTACCTTATTAGACCTGGGTAAATCTAAATATCCCACATCTGGCCCAAAGTTCTGGCCAGAGCACTATACTGGGAATTTTTCTTTTTTCTCTTTTTCTTTCTCTCTCTCTCTCTTCTCTCTCTCCCCCTCCCTCCCTCCCTTCCTTCCAGCTAGAACTAGGAAGGAAAGTCAATTCTTTTCTGATGGTAAAACTTGTGAGGGGTGAACTTTAGAAGGCATAAAGCAGCCACGATTCTTGCCATGTCGAGAACCATGATAAGTAGAAAAAGCAAACAGCTCTGAACAGTCTCAGCATAAAGCTACAAAAAAAGTCATACTTTTATCAGTCTAAAAATTATCAAACCTCTACCAGGAAGAGAGAAAATATATTTTGATATTAATGTTACTAACCTTGTTTGTTCTTGGATTTAACATAAGTGGCTTGCCTTTCTCTTTTATGTGCAAATGACGACATGCCAAAGTACAAGGAGTGGCAACTACTCTTAACCGGGATAACATCTTCTTTTTCACCTGGGAAAAATGAAGCAAATAAACCACTGATGAGAAACACAGCACCGCATGTACATCAAGTATCAGTTTTCAAAAACAGATTTTAATAAAAGCTTATCTTTGCACACGTGAAAATGCTTTTACAAAATACATTTATGTTTTCTCAAGTTGTAACAGTTGCAAAAGGGTAACAGTAAGGTGAAGGTGAAGACTTACTTTGCCTAACACTCTTAAATCCTTGGATAATAATCACTGCTCCTCTGTATGTACCACCTACTGTATGTCAGACACTGTGCAAAGCATTTAACCTCCTTCTACGCACACAAGTGTGGCAAGGCATATCTATCACTTGTGAAAGAAACAAATTAAGTGTTAAAAACAAGGTAGCAACTAGTAAATAGCAAAGTAAGTTTCATTTAATGAGTGTGTAAGTTTAGCTTGAAGGTAGAAAGTAAATAACAGGAAAGCCTGGGGCCTACACATTAGAGGAATGGAAACTGTCCAGATTCTTAATCTAGACTTAGAATTTTAATGTACTATATTCAATGTTTAAATCTAATGTACTAGGGCTGGATGTGGTGGTCCATGCCTGTAGTCCTATCTACTCCAGGGGCTGAGGCAGGAGGAATGCTTGAGCCCAGGAGTTGGAGGCTGCAGTGAGCTATGAGTGCAACTGTACTTCAGCACGGGTGACAGAGCAAGACCTTGTCATTCATTCATTAATAAAAAGTGAATAAATAAATAAACTATAATTTTTTTATCTTAGAAAACCTGTTATTTAATATAAACAAATCATGTAAATTGACTAGATAACATATGAAGAACTTCTGCATTCATCATAAACATATGGGAATTTTTTTAAATGAAGAACTATACATAAAACCTTAAATATTTTGTGATAACAGATTCTTCTGCTTATCAATTCTTCTACCAAAACTCAGAATTTCCCGTTTCTTTAAGTATTACAAATCACTGCAATGATCATGCAGTAAGTTTTTTCAAATGTAACTTCCATTTGCTGAGAAATCCATGGTCTGTATATGGAAGGGCATCGAAATCATTTGCGTAAGGATTAAAAATTTTTTTTATTGAGGTGACATTCACATAACATAAAATTAACCATTTTAAAGTGAATAATTCAGAGGCATTTAGAAAATTCTTTTTTTATTTTAAAGAAAATTCTTAATGTTGTACAGCCACCACCTCTAGCTGGTTCCAAAGTATTTCCATCACCTCAGAAGGAAACACCATGTTTGTTAAGCAGTTGTTCCACATTCCCCTTCTACTACCAGTACCTAGCAACCCCAATCTCTCTTCTGACTTTATGAATTTACCTATTCTAGACATTTCATATAAATGTGGTACCTAAACATGACCACAAAAACAAGAAATCTCTATCATCATTGACGCATCAAGAATCAAGATAACTGACCTGTTTTCTTAAAAAATGTTGACGTCATGAAAGACAATGACTAAGGAACTATTGCAATTTAAAGAAGACTAAACATATGATAACTAAAAGCAAAACCTAATCCTGAACTGTATGGCATACCAGGGAAAAAATGCTATAAAGGACATTATTGGGACAAGCGACAGAATTGGAAGATATACTGTAGATTACATAAAAGTATTATATAATTTTATGTTTTCTGAATTTGATGACTATACATAAGATATCCTTATTCTGAATATATACAATGAAGTATGAAGGGGCAAAGGAGTATAATGTATATGATCTTTTGAAATTATTCCAAAATAAATTTTAGAAAGAAATCTAAAGAGTCAGTACATTAATTAGCATCAACTATGCTAACAAATGCTACAGTAGCAACCTAATTGCAGAATAAGATCTCAGTAAAAACTAAAATGGCATTAAATATAGGGCTGGAAGATATGACTTTTAGCTATTTATCTATTGATGTTGCAAGAAAAGATTTTTTTAGCTTCACTTTTCAAACTTCCTACCAAAGAGGAGCAGCCTCTGATAAATAGAACTTCAAAGGCACCAAAAGATAGCTTAAAAGTTTACATCAATGCCAAAAACATGTAGACTGGTAGTTAGGCTGTCTCTGTTTATAAAACAAAACAAAAATTTAGCTTGACCAACTAAAGAAAATCCCAGAAGTGCTATCTTCAAAAACAAGATTTTTAAAATAAGTTTTTATTTTCCAATAATTTTAGATTCACACAAAAGCTGCAAGGACAGTGCAGAGTTCTCATACATCCCTCTCCCAGTTTCATTTTCCCCTAACGTTTAGAACAAGTTTTTAAGATAGTGAAGCCACGATTTTTCTAGGAAAAGAAATGCCCACTCCACTTTCAATTTCATCATTAGACAAGTTACTGGCTTCCCAGTATCTCAAGACTGTACTGTTTTATGGAAAAAACAATATTGTTTATGGTAGTGCAGTCTGGCACTCAAACCTAGGCTTGCTTTTCTAAAAAGCAACAGGCTGTGGCCTGGTTTTGGAAGGTTCTTGAACTAAGAACATTCTTTACATTTTTGTAAGGTTGTAAAACAAAACGAAACCCCCAAAACAATATGTGACAGAAATGCATGTGACTCACAAAGCCTAAAATACTTACTATCTGGTCTTTTACAGGAAAGCTTTTTGCCTACTCCTACTATAAAGGCTACAAATTCCTGTGAACTCAAAGGCAGGAAGTAAAATCTGCCTGTGTTGTACATACACACACACACACACACACACACACACACACACACACACGTACGCTTGCATGGTATCAGCACTATTTCTGGATTAGTTCTACAGATATTTGAATCCAAAGATAAGGACTTCAAATAAGGGATGTTTTAAAAGTGTTGCTGATCAGTTATTCCTGGACACCGAAACACTCCAGTTTGCAAGTTAACTATGTTGTTTTCTGCCTTCCCTATCACTTTCTTCCACCAGCCTCTGAAGTGAAGTGTGATTTACTGTTTCAAGACCATTTGTATGAGGCTTAGAGTCTCACCAACACATCTGGCTGTGAATGGTCACCCTGATATTAAATGTGATGCAGTGTTGGAGTCCTTCAATACTGCCAAGAATGTTTCACTCACATTAAATAGTCATAGATGCAATTAAGCTTTAAACCGTCAAGGCATGAAGGGAATAGATGAAAAGAATGTGTGAATTATTTGAAAGGTTTCTTGCTCTTTGTCAAAAAAAGGGAAAAAGCATTGTACAGACGACCAGGCCAAGACAGTAGGGATGGTTTTGTTCACGGTTCCAAGGAAAAAATTTAAGAATTAATTGTGAGCCTTAAAGAAACACTGACAATGTAGAAAATGGAAAGAACATAAAAATGATGACTAAGAGCAAAAGCCAGCAATATAAAATCTTCATCTATGTATTATTCAAAAATGATTTCATTTCTGAATATGTTATCAATAGCATAAAACCTCAAAATCACACACAGATTTGAGACCTTTCTAAGAGAGTTTGGCTTGTTGCCTGTTAGAGGCACACAAGTTACTGAGTTTGCATGTCAGGCAGCCAACTGAAAGACTGGGGACCCCCATAAGAAAAACCAATATGGCTGAACACAAATGGATCCCATTTGTTGCTAGTGTACTGACTGTTGCCAGCTCTCAGGGGGATACCTTAAGTTTCTTTTTTTCCTTTAGCTGTCTTTGGGAGTGGCTCTGGATCTGCTTCTTTGCACCTCTTTGGAGAGGCCTCATACTAAAGGCTTATTGGTTGTGGTTCTGAGTCACCTGGTAGGTACCTTTGGTTTAAAAGAAAAGGGAAAAAAAGGTTCAAAAGCCAGGAATATTGGTTGTTTGTCCTAGCTAAATCTGATAAGAGATTTGAAAAGATTTTGTTTGTTTTTTAAAGAGCTCAATAGTCAAAAGCTGGTTTAATTAAAAGCTGGTATTCAGGCTGTAATTTTTTTAAAAAAGGCCTTTCTACTTTTTCTCTTTTGGATCCTGTTTCTCCCCTGGGAATTCTTTTCAGTCTACTGAACCCCTGTTTTTAAAATTACATATTTTGTCCCTTTGTTCACTTTCTTTCTTGTTGGCATGATTTGTGCTGAGAAGAATGTAAAATTTCATCGGCCTTTCAGGCAGCTTAAGATCTCCTCAGACTGGCTCCTCTACAATTCATTCTCCCATCTGCCTCTGGCCCTCCTTCTGCCACCTCCAATCCTGCATCTAGCTTCTGTTCCCTCCACTTGGTGGTCAGTGTATGAAATGTTACTGACAGAAAACATCACTTCTGGCTATTACATAGAGAGATCTAAGAGAGACTTCTAAAGACTCTTTGAGGGACACAACTAATATGCTGCTGACCCCTCTTATTGGGTCCTCTGTCTTCCTCATGAAGCCCCAAAAGTGGTGAGTGGGTTTGGTTCTATCCGTTAATGAGCTCTGCCTTGAGCTCAGTAATCCAGTGTAGATTTTTCCTAGACTTATAAGCATAATCCTGCAGTAAACTCCTGTGATTTTATTACCTTGTCATCCATTTTTAATTTTCCTGTGTCTTCCTTTCAAACTCCTTCTTCAAAAAGCTTAAATTCTCTAGTTTTAAAATTGTTCGTAAAATAAAAATGTCTTTAGAATTGTCAGTATCAAATATAATTTAGACATTTTTGCCTGGGTCTACTGGTCAAATTTATACTATCTTTGTTAGATGTTTTAAGGTCATAAAACTATTTTCTTCTGTGATATTTTTGATACTTGCTTGATTTGCCTGTGAGCTTAAGTCTTTCGTTTTGAGCTTTTAGATTTTGTGGTCTAGACAGATGGCCATAGGAGGCCTGGGTACCTATGTGTGTCCACAGTGCCTGGGCCACTAGCTGCAGAGCAGTGCCGAGCCCAATATGGCCCCATCCTGCCCGGTCCAGCTGTGCCTCCTTGCCATGCTGGTAGGGGTCGGGTCCTCTAGGCATCATCTTTGCAGCTCTGTCCTCTGTCCTGGGCTCTGCACCTAGTACATAACAATTAAGTCATTAAGTTCTAGGCTTTTTACTGGAAATTAGGGTTATTAAGAATTAAAATTGTAACATACATAATT